TAGCTTTCGTCGGTAAAGAGGACACGAGTCCAGTCCCTACCGAGATTGGCCCGGCACCATTCGACCCGTTTTTGCCGGTGTCTTTCGGTCATTAAAGGGATGGGTTGCGGGAGCCATTTAAGAAGTCCTGATTTTCTTAATGACCTCCAAACTGTCCAGCGAGATACCGACGGGCTACCTCTTTTGGCCATTTCACCCGCAATCCAGCCCGAACTGGACATGGGGTGCTTATTGGCCAATTGGGTTGCCCGACGTTTATCATTCGCTGACAAAATTGGAGGTCGACCAGAACCAGGCTTCTGTTGAACCCCTTTCCCTTCCCGCAACCTCTTGACCACTCGGTAAACGGTGGCCTGGGGTATGCCGGTCACTTCGGTTAAGAACTTCGGGTCATGTTGGCCATTGTCCCAGAGATTTTGGAGTGTCCGTCGGGCGTCCAGTTTTGTCTTCTTTTGTGGCATCTTCTTGCGGTTTGCCATTGATTTACAGATGTAAACAATAWCATGTGGCACACCGTTTTAAAGGTCACTTAAAGGGCTATTTATTTATTTACATTTGTTTTATATACATTTACCTGTTTTATAATTAATCGCTTAAATAAAAACCCCTATTTATTCTCATTCATTTTGCACTTATCTTTATAATAATAAAAAAATCATTTAAAAACATTTATTACAAATCATTTAATTGTTATAAACAATTATTATTATTATTTGTTCAATACATTAATATTTCACATTTTAAATTTAATTATTAAAATACTTAATACAAACTATTATCAAACAATTAAGTTACACTTATTTTATTAATACTTAATTGTACACACCATATATTATTATCAGTTATTAAACTCTAATTATTATTTCTATTATTATAATTCATAATTTATTAAAAATACTATACTACAGTCTATATCTAAAGTCACTTTAGATTTAATACAATTCAAAATAATTTATAAAACATTAGTGACATAATATTCAATTTAAATACAACAATATATATATATATATAAAGTTTAMCTTAAAATTTAATTATAAACATATACTTATAACAATTTAATATTATAACTATTTATAATACATTTATTATAAAACATTTAAAAACTTAGTAACCAATTGTTAAGGTTACTTATTTAAATTATAAACATTTAATACTTTATATTTAAAACAATTTATTAATATAACAATTTATTATAACATTTGATTCCGTAACCAATGTTAAGGTTACTATATATAATATTTATATTATTTCAGTTTAAAATAACATTTATTATAAATACAATTTAAAAAACTATTTAAATATGTCATTAACAAAATATTCGGGTTACATTACCAATATTAAAATCAAAACATGGCTCAAACTATATGAGCTATCCATACAACAAATGTCGGGTACCGAGCACATCAATCAACTAATATGTCACTTGAAATCTAAAGCTCTACAATGGTACGCCGACGAGGCTATGGACAAATACACACAATGGGACATCGATAAGTCTAAAATTCAATCACAATTCGGTACAGCCGATGTCCATCAAACAAAACAATCAAAGTCTGTACAATGCAAAGACAAGTATACAGACCAATCGTATACCAATACAAATCAAAGTTTACTTTCCTCTGTTGCCAACACTCATATCTACAATTTACGGCAACAATACAACACGGCATCAATGCACCTTGAAAACCTAAGAAATATGTTATCATTATATACTTGGTGCAAACAACTAATACATAAATATAATAAATACAAGCACGCGGTAAAACAACAAATAAATAACAATTGCGGCAAACACACACAGAGTCATTTAACATACATAAAGCCGACAAAACAAATATCACTCAAACCGTCCCTCACACACATGACACCGAGCAAAGTCGTGATACTTCTCACAAAGCACTTAAGTCTTCGGTCGTCGCAACATTAAGCGCCGGATGCTTTTCACAGATAAGCCACGGACAGACGTCGTGCTCCTCCGGTCGCCTATCACTCACAAAGACTAGAACAAAAGTCTCCGACGGTAACAACAACAAGCCTCTGCTACCATTGTCTGTAAAGCTGGACATCAGATTAAGCGGTCGTCAAATCTCAGACACCGTTATGCTTAAGTTCCCTGAACGTTCCACATGCAATCAAAGCCTAGTCATGCTTAATTATTATAAATCACACATAATCGGCAACTCAACACCCACTCAATTATATTTCAACATAGACTTCGGTAAACGCTGTGATCGAATCTCCGACACAAATACGCGTGCAATACTCGAAAGCTCTACGATTGATAATATTTCAATCACTGACTCTAAAACACAACAACAGACGCCACTACAAATACTAACTAACCGCTTATATAAWACCAATGCCGTTAAAACTATTAATAATTATTATCACATGTCATTATTGGACAATACATCAATGCATCGCAAATACAGCGATCAATATTTTACAACACAAATGTCCACATATTTCAAACACATTGAAATGATTAACTATTTTGTCTTTACCATAATATCGCTACACTTTCGACATATTCGATTTAAAGACTTTATTATTAAAGTTAACTTTAAACATCAAAATAAAGAATTAACATCGCGCTTCGACATCAATACTCAATGTCTCATCGCTACATAGAATTTTCTCCTATGTCGAAAATTCTTTTTCAACAGTAGAAGAATGTGATGATTAAAACATCACTTAAGCGCTTCCAAAGACAAATTAAAATATAAAGTTAACTTTAGATATTATAACTAATTTATACTGTATATATTTATGCTATTATGTATATTCTCTATTATAACTTAAAATACTGTTTAAATCAAAATAAGTAATTTGATTATAATTAACTATATTTAATATTATCATCAATTCTATATTAATATCCTATTTATTATTATTATGTTTAAATGTTTAATTAAGATTATAAATTAATATTAATGTTATAAATAACTTAAATTAATTATTAATTATCTAATATACTGTAATTAGTAAATACATGTAATTCATCGACTATCACATTATATTTATCAATAAAGTTGAGCTCAGGCTAGCAATAGCTAGTCTAGGATGGGCTTCAAGACTCATAAACATTGACTACTTTAATAGTAAACCTTAGGTGAAGCAGAGTTTGGCTATTATTCCGGTTCTCCGGATCAGTCATTCCGAGCTCCGATAGAAGGCTCCCAAATACTACAAACGATATATAAGCGCAGTTACCAATGACCAGAGCCCCGAATGGGCCATTCATATATACTGTGACGTAATAGTTAACATATCCAAATATACCGTAATTTTTAAATAGTCTTCTAATAGCAGCCTATTCATAAATTACGTCACAGTTCCCTATCCAACATACCCCGCATTGCTTATTGCTTCGTAAAGTTATCTTTACGGGCTATTGACGGCTAAGCACTCATATATGCCCGTCACAACTTTATTTATTGTATATTTTAAGGATGTTTTAAATGAATTTATTTTCAATAATTAAATATTATAAATAGGACAAAATTATTATTATTTATACACAGTATAGCATTTGTTTAAAATAAGAAATATTAATAATAATTTTTAACACTACTTTCTTTATACTTTATAATTAATATTTATATACAATTAATGTCCGATTTATTATCAATTAAAATTCAATTTATAATTATCATAATTTTGTGTATAATTTTAACATTACAATAGTTAAACAAATATAATAAAATGCTAATTCGTTTGATGAACAGTTAGCATAATTTTAAACAACATTCCCAATGTTTAACTCTATCCCCTTATTTTGCATACATTTAACTTCAATTAATTATATTTCCCGTTTAATTATCCTAAAAATCACTTATAATTCAGATTTATCTACAATTGTTTTATGCACTCATTTATCATAGTTTTACATTTGCTTTGATCACTAATAAGACAATACATAATATACTATACTATACTGTATTATACTGTATAGTTGTTTAGCCTATCTTTTGTTATATTGAATTCAACAACAATTTTATTCAAGCATTACTTTTATCTAACAATAAATTAATTTCCTTTAATAGAATCCGTTTTATTAATTAATTTGTTTTGTAATTAGTCTAAAATTAAATATAAAATTTATTTTAAACCATATTTTTAATATCATATACTATATACTGAATATAACATAGTTACCAAAGTTTTACATATTATTTATTAAATTAATTAATTTTTAAAAATTATATCAACTTCAGCTTAGTTAGTGATTGGTTTGTAAATTACAAATTGTAATAATTGTAAAGTAATTTTATAATATCATATATTGTCTTAATTTTATTAATTACTACATATAATGTATAGTATTAGTCAATAATGATTTTTAAAAATATTTTTTATACATAAGTTTTAATTCCTAACCATTAGTTGTTTTAATAATAACTTATTTACTTAAAATGTTGTAATAGTGAGTTATTATTGATAAAATTAATTTAACAACTCATTAATTATACATTTTTTAATGTAATAAATATTTCTAAAGTGTAAATATCACATTTTTTCATCATTTAAAAAATAATGTAAAATTAATTTAATATACAATAGCATTGATAAATAGGTATTCCTATAAATACATTACTTATAAAGTATTATTTCAATAGCTTTTAAATATTTATTGTTTTTAACCAATAAATTTAATAAAAATCATCATTCAATTGACAAATAACTAAATATAATAAAACATTTAATAAAACATATAATATTTATTAATAACATAATAATGTTATTAAATGACAAGTGTTTGATAAAAATCACATTTTTATTATTTGATCACAAGTTGTAAACATTTATTAAATTATATATTAAAATATAAATTACTGAATAAATGTTATAATTGTGGTATTAATTAATATGAATTAAATTAAACATATATTTATTTAATGTTAGATTAGACACTAAGACTCTGTTAATGAAATGTAAACAATATATTAATAATTGTATTGTATTTACTATACAGTAGTCTAACACGTGTTGACGTGTTTTCAATGCAATGCACGTGCGGTATGTTTTTGTATACGTAATTGATGTTTGTTTGTTGTGTTTGTAGAGGGAGTGCATTGGTTTGCATTGGTTTTCAATGTTATTGTTGTCCACATATTGACTGCAAAAACAATAATTGCATTCAATTTAGTTGTGGTTTTGACTATTGATTTGATTATTATTTTTGTTAACAATATTGCCATCAATTTGAGGACCAATTGATTGCAATTATCAATTGATAGCATTATTTATAACCCATTAAATCCATTGACATATTCATAACATCCCACACATTGACAACTAAAACACAAACAAATTACATAAATTAGGTGACAATCAGTCAATCCGTGTCCACATTCATAGATAAAACACAGACAATGAGTACTAAAGAAGAAGATGTCTTCAGAATCGGCAAAAAATTAGAGAAAATAATCTCAAGAAAAGATAGTTCGGTATTACATGTGTTGTCACTATTAAACTGATGCCATATATCTAATGATTTATTTGTATTTTTGTCTCATTTTATGTCTGTTATGTCCTCTTATCACGTGATGGTATGTCTGGTACGGTATGTTATCATTGATAGTCATGTGCACAAGCATTGGATCTGTTAAAAGCTTTACAAACCATACCGATTACACTGGAAGTACTGCAGAAGACACGCATCGGTATGACTGTTAACAATCTGCGTAAATCCATCAGCGATGACGACGTGGTCTCACTGTCCAAGTCTTTAATAAAGTCTTGGAAGAAGTTGTTGAGTGATCCCAATAATAAAAGTGACACAAATAAGAGTGAAACGGATCAACAAAAGACAAACGGCAGTGAAGGAGACAAGTCTTCAAACGACTCAAAACCTAAACTGACTGTATTTATTGGTAATAATACCACAAACAGCACAAAGACTACTCCAAATGGTCCGCCATTTAGACAAACATCATTCCCGGCCGACACCACTAATAGTGTTCGACTGAAGTGTCGCGAAATGTTAGCCAATGCACTGAAACACGAAGATTCATACGATGCCGACGAAACATTGTTTGCTCCCGAAGAGCTGGCCAAACAAGTCGAGGAATACGTTTATCGTGAATTTAGGGACACAAACATGAAATACAAGAATCGCATCAGGAGTCGAGTGGCCAATCTATCGGACAAAAAGAATCCCGATTTGAAGCTAAATGTATTGCGCGGATCGATCAGAGCCGAGAAAATTGCTAATATGACTGCAGAGGTCAGTGTTTATTAATAATTGTATTAAATAATTAGGTTTTTATTTAATAAATATTTTACAAATTTAGGAAATGGCGAGTAAAGACATGAAAGATTTGCGACAAAAGTTTACCAAAGAAGCTATTAATGATCACCAAATGGCTATGACTTCGGGCACAAAAACAGATCTAATTAAGTGTCCGGCCTGTAAAAAGAGTAATTGTACTTATAATCAGGTATAGTATAACAATACAATTAATTTCGATGCACCAAAAAAGGCTTTAATAAAAATAATTTGTTGTCCAATAATAGGTACAAACCCGAAGTGCCGACGAACCGATGACAACATTTTGCTATTGTAATGAATGTGGAAAACGATGGAAATTTTGCTAATTTTTCATATGTAGCGTCAGATTTAATTTAATTATCTTTTAGTTTATAAAAGATCACATCAACAACAAAATTACATAAAAATTAATCTAAAAATGGATGAGATATACTGAGAAAAAATCTCTGATTTACATTAAAAACAAATTATTTTCTCTTTTTTGTTTAATTGTTATACAAAAACAGTTTTGTTTATGAAATTTATAAAAATATTATCATTATTATTATGTATTGTAAATCTTACTAATATTGATGAAATTCAAGTTTTTAAAAATCATTCGTTTAATGAATGATTAAATAATGTTTATTTTAATTTGATATTGAAAATTGCAGTTACGGTAAATAATGAAATTTTATACACAGTCTAAACAAAGATATTTATAATGTTAATTAAATTATTTATGTTTTTGAATGTAAACTATGGTATGAAAATTTTGCCGGATATTACTTGAATTACTGCAATTATTATTTAGATAAATTTTTTTTAGAAAACTTATTTATAAATTTATAATGTTATCATTAGTTTAAGAAAAACAATCGATAAAAGTGTTTATTATTCAAAACAGTACTATTTCTATGTTTTTTGATTAATTGATGTAATTTATATTTTTTAAAAATATCATTGACTCCTTTATTCATTTATTAATATAGTATTTCATTAAAATTATTGAGAAAATTAAAATTTTGGCTTAATTTTATAATTTTGTAAACAAAATGATTTGACATCATATAGTATCACATGTTTTGGCAATGATTTGTTTGATTGCATTTATCAAATGGCTCTAAAGGATTGATAAATATACAGTATATTAATAAAAAATACACTAAATTATTATATAGTTTTTAATTACACAATTTGTAAGCAAAACACGACAAGTTTATAAAAAAATATATTTTAAAAGTAGTTTTGTCTAAAATATGCAAAAAATATTTGTCGATTTCCAATCAGTTCCAGGAATCGCATCTCAAGGTTAATACTAAATAAAAAAGTTTTACTTTAGACTTAAACCAATTGATAAAATAGAGAGTTGTTTGACAGCTATTTATTGTGAAAGAGAGAGAGAGAGAGAGAGAGAGAGAGAGAGAGAGAGAGAGAGAGAGAGAGAGTTGTCTATAAAAGCGGATAAATTTTCTTCAAAAGATATCATTACATAATTGAATCTTACATTAAAATGTTTAAAACAATCTCTGCTTTATTGTTGTTGTGTATTGTGGCCAACATTTATGGCCAATCACTCAGTCAAGGTGCAGGTGTAAGTCTTGGAACCAGTGTATCGCAAGGCCAAGGAGTCAGTCAGGGACAGCCGATCTCAATTGGTGTCTCAGTTGGTCTCTCAGATTGTCAAAGAGCTCGTGAGAGAGCCCAGAGATCAACATCGGTGGCGAATTTGATCCCAAATTGTGAGCCAAATGGTGACTATTCAAATCTTCAATGTCATGCGAGTGCAACCACGTCTGGTGGTCGTTGGTGTCAGTGTTGGAAGAGTATGTTATCAATAAATATTATGAAATTTAAAAATATCTATTAATAAAATGTTGTACTAATTAAGGTGATGGCACTGTTGTGAGTCAGCCTTCACGACAGATTAGACGGTGTGAATGTCTGCTGGAAAAACATGGTCTTCGAAGTACAACTTCAGGATCTTCTTCAGCTTCAGGTATATTCAATTGTTTATCTTATTTAACTTTTCATCGATAAAAATTAATTAATAATCTCTTACAGGAGGTACAGCATCGGGTACTGTTGTAGTGGGTGCTTTTGTGCCTACCTGTGCCAAACACGGTGGCTATGAAAACAAACAATGTCACGGTTCAACTGGACATTGTTGGTGTGTCAATGAGGCCGGCACTCAAATCGGTCAAAAGACTAGAGGTTCTCTCAATTGTAATTAATTCAATTCAATACACAAATTAATACCTTACCGGTAATACTAATAATAAAATATATATTTTCTTTATAATTAAATTAATTGTTATAAAAATAATGTATTATTTACAAATCAATTATTTATATACCGGTAGATATTAACTTATATTTTAAAAAGATAATTACAAAATTATTAATATTATAAATCTTATTTATTAAGATTATTTATATTTGTAGATTCATATAAAATATAATTTTATTTCAAATAATAAATGTTACCGTAATTTGTAAAAAATATAATAAATCCATAATTTGTTAAATCGCACAATTGATAGATAAATACAAAATAATTTTTTTAAATGTCATTAAAGTAATGATAATTACGTTAATTAATATAATGTTTAGTTTATAATTGATAGTAAATCATTGTACGGTATCTTTATTTTCGTATATAATTCGTGTCCGTAATGTATCGGACAGTAAATCGGATAACCATTAAAGCGCTGAGAGATGCGACCAGACCTGCGGGCATAAACTTTCCCGAATTCAAGGCCCGATAGCCCATTAGTGCGCCCAACACTACTGATGTGCCTATAAATCGTCCAAAAATATACGGATAGTGACTATTTGTGACCAAATGATTACCGGAACTTCAAATTAATACAAACCTAATGTCAAATAGTAATTACGCGGATTCACTGATGTCTGGTATGCGCCAAACCCAAGGACACCACCGAATACAAGACCTGCGATTAAAGAGTATGTGCTCTCTATGTATAAGTAGTAAACAATTGGTTAAGACATAAGATCATCACATATTAGGTAATAAACAATTGAGAGACAATACATTTGAATAACACTTGACATTCAAGTGATACTCAATGTCTGGGAAATCCCTTTCTTTTAATAAAAACTTTGTGGTATTATCACTAACTGGTGCCCAATGTCACCATAACTTGTTTGGTAACATTGAGACATATATGTATACATACTGTCCCTCAATTGCTACATAACTGATACTAACTGGCCTTCAAGTATCCCATGAGACCGCCGATGGCGACAGTGGAAGCAAACGCAGCGCTTATTACATCAAATGGCATTTCAATACCGAAGATCTGATTTTTCATTAAATTCAATTGATTTGTCTGTAGTCGACCACTCTTTACACTTTCAATGTCTTGACGACCGCTGAAAACGCTTTCTTGAGACAACTGTTGGCCCGAAGTAATTGAGTCAACAATATTGTCAATCGACTGATGAACTGAGTCTTGAGGAACACTTGTCGGAGGTTTTGCAGAGTTTTCTTTACTGTTATCTTCAATCAGATCTTTAGGAGACATCAGAGGAGATAATTACACAGTTTTAAGGTTTTCAATGACTTGACAACAAGTCTTCATTGTTTAAGAGTTTCTCCAAAAGAGTTCACTGTTTTCACAAACACTTCCACTGTTTTTATGGATTTGTTTTTCTTCTTATAGTAAATAACATGAATTGACTTTTAATTGCGATTCTCACCACTTCTTCGATGGTTTACTCTATTGTCAATAAACTGATGACAATATAAAAGTCATGTCTTCTCATTAAATAATCAGTTGAAGATCACTGATGACAGACAATGACAAGTGATTGTCACTACGATATCCCCAAATGGTATGTCATTTGTGTGTCAATCATGAGTTAAATGTCTTGTAATGCATGACTTGTTTGCCATTAATGTGAACCACTTTTTCTGGTCACTCGACTTGTTGTTCATATAACTGATGTCACACTTAATGTCATTTATAGGGCTGGAAAACCTCCAAATGGTCTTCATTTGGATGTCCTTAAAGAAGGCAAACTTTTTCAGGTAATTATAATCAGAATCTTTGAATGTATTGAATGAGAAAAAATGGGATCAATTAAAAGTGTTGACAAATGAGTAAAGCATTGAACGGATGACTTGTTATATGACTTGTCATCAAAAGAAATGTAAAAAATGAGATAATAGTCCACAAAAAGTGCGACAAAAACTAAGTTTGACTTTTGTTATGACATCTCAATGATTGTCAATGTTTTAGTTGTCTTTGAGTTATCACTGAATGAATGCGTGAATCAGCGTTTGATTTTGCGAGACATGTCATCAACCGATAGACCTATTCATATATTTTTTAATCTCTTGATTACATCTATTTTATGATATATTAATATCTGTTATATTTGTCAATTGATTTCATCTATGACTATGTTTACAGAAACTAATGATCGACGAGAAGAGGTGCTATTTATTTGGTCGAAACCCAACTTTGACCGACTTTTGTATAGATCACGCCTCCTGTTCCCGAGTGCACTCTGCACTGGTCTATCACAAACATCTGGACAGGTGTTTCCTCGTTGACTTAGGCAGCAGTAAGTAAACCTTCAATAATATAAAAAGTATTTTTTAAAACATTTATTGTCTCAAATACAGCTCACGGATCATTCATCGGTAGTGTCCGACTTGAAGCCAATAAACCAACACAACTGCCGATTGACAGTCAATTTCATTTTGGTGCGTCCACTCGGATCTATATATTAAGAGAAAAACCCAATCAAAAGGGCGCTGCAGTTGATGCAAATGGTGAAGAAGTGGAAAGTGGATTACTTGGACTTCCAGAGACTGAAACAGAACTCGATGTTAGAAATTAATTGCAATGAATTTATTTGTCAAATATTTTCTTTAATTTAATTTATTTTACTGACCAGAACTTAACCGAATACAATACGGCTCAGAATAAGCGAATCAGTACATTAGGAATACCCGATAAAGAGATTAAAGTCCCCCGAAAACGAAAAGGAAATGTTTTCTTCAATGAAGAGGAAGAAGTTATAAACCCTGAAGATATTGATCCAACAGTTGGTCGCTTCAGGAATTTAGTTCAGACATCAGTGATTCCACACAAGAAGGTACGCACAGAAGCATCGCATTCAATGATACACTACGACAAGACATCAATTTCTCAATCGTCTCACTCGGCATCAGAATTGTCGTCACATAAATCAAACTCTAATCCATTATTTTCGAGTTCATTATCAGCAAAACTGGGCATTCATTTGCCAAATCCTGCTCCCGATGTTGATCTTAATAAACCACTTGAAGAAACATATATTGAAGAACCAGTTATCGGACCACTTGAAGAGTATGAGCACAATATGAGCGAACCGAAGAAAAAGAAATACGCGAAGGAGTCGTGGCCGGGGAAGAAACCAACGTCTCTACTCATGTAATACATAATCATTAAATTGATAGCAATTTATAAAGCAATTACTATTACAGAAGTTTATACTATAGAAGATCAACCTTTTTCTGTATTTATGTATTATTTATGTATTATAAAGCATTACATTAAAATCATTGACGAAAATAAATTTAATTTTATTTGATTGTCATTATAAATGATGATTTGCTCAATAATTGCATTTTTGTATATTTGGTAATCGTTAAGTATATTATTAAATAATTTATAATTGTTTTGCAAAAAAATTACAGTTATCGGTAATGCAAATGAGGAGTCTATTTATTATAAATTAGATTTAAATTAGTTTCAATAAACTTATCTATAAAAATAGTTTTTATATAAAAAATAATGATGATATTAAACGTTGGTAAATTTATTATAAAAAATTTTTAAAAATTATTAATTAATAAACATAAATAGTTTAAAATATAAAAATAGGATATTTAATAAAAGTGATACAATAGTTATGATCTACAGACTTATAGTCAACAGAAAATATTATCTAATAACAAACAATTGAAAACTTTATTAAACTATTAATTTATTATTTAATATTATCAATAATACACAAGAAATTATTATTGAATATATTATCAATTTTTCTTATTGCAATTATGCAATATAAGGTTTTATTATTATGCTTAAGAAATTAATATTTTATAATTTTAAGGTAAATATCTATAATCTATGCTACTATATAATTTGTTCAATGTTTGTGCCAAATTTGTGTCACGCAAACAATTACTTTTGATGTGTCGCGCGATTATTAATAATTTTAATTTATTAAATAAAAAATAATTAAATAAAATATACTTTTTATAATACACTGTATATTTATATAGCGCGTGAAAGCATTGTTTAGTAAAGAGATAGATTAAGATTGAGAGAGAGAGAGAGAGATAATATTGTTGCACGTGTTAACTATTGATACACATTTTATTACGTGGAGATCTAACTAGTATTGTAATAATTTGATTATCAATAAATTATTTTTAAACCATATGGACTCAAATATGATTTAATGATGACTTAATTATATAATTATTTATTTATATAAATACTATTTAAATAATTATTTTATATATTATATAATTTTTTTGACTCTGAAGTTTAATTATAGTATTTGAAAATTAGTTATAGAAAACAATGTTAAACCAAATATATCATAGAATTTCAGCTCTAAAATTAAATATCAGATAATTATGTGATTAGATAACAATAATGTAGTATAAAGTACAGTATATATGATATAATAAATGCTGACCATATAAAAACACATATTATTTATTTGTTAAATGATTAAAAATATATTATTTTTAATTAAATTAATTATTATAAGACATTTCATTTGTTACAACTATATATATATAATGCGCAATAGTGACGATAATAAGTTATATTTATTAATATTAATATTTAATTTAATATTTAATTTAATATTTAATTTAATATTTAATTTAATATTTAATTTAATATTTAATTTAATATTTAATTTAATATTTAATTTAATATTTAATTTAATATTTAATTTAATATTTAATTTAATATTTAATTTAATATTTAATTTAATATTTAATTTAATATTTAATACTATTATAATAATAGTTCAATTATTCAGTACATCATATTAATATGATACTTAGATAATATTCAATATTACCGGTAATCAATTTAATTAAAATTGTAATATTATATTTTTAACATTTATTTATAGCATTGACCTTTCGTGCAAATAATTTTATCTTTGATATAATTAATTTCAAAATATTGATAGAAAATTTCTGTATATGAAAAAACTAATATTCAAATATAGATAAAGAGATTGTTGGTACATTAATTGTATTATTTTACTATAATTAGGTTATTATTGAATTATTCATTTAAATAATTTATATATCAATTTAACAATATATCTTTTATTATGTATAATAATATAGTTTTTATGTAAAAAAATCAATTATTAGTTATAAATTTATATTATAGTTTAAAAATATAGTGTTTTAAAATTTGCAAATATTATTAATTAACAATTTCTGTTATATTCCATAATAATAATAATATAATATATTTTATATTTTAGTTTATCTTTTTCTTGAATTTATTATATTTACACATTTGTTTGATAAACACTTTAATAAGACATCCTTTTTTAATATTAATATAAATTAATGCTATTTCAAAAAATGTATTGACATTTTAAAAAATAAAAAATAATATATTATAGTTTATTAAATTTTTAATTAGTAAATCAGTTTTAACGGACTCTCAAAAATGGAATACTTATTAACTGAATTCAATTTGTGTGTCACTGTTGTGTTCACTGTTTGACTTCAAATTCAAATGGTTAATGAAAAAGTAAATGAAATAATATTTTGAATAAATACAAATTAATATAGTTTACAAATATTTTATTTAAATACTTATTATTATAAATATTATATTATTACTTATAAACTCTAGGGGTAATAAAATAATTTTTAAACTTATTTTAATATTATAATTAAATATTATATCTAAAACAGAAATATTTATTTTAATTTTTTATATAGAACTTAAATAAAAATTAAAATATATTTTTTATTGAATAAAATATAAAATTTTAGATACCGACAACCCATTTATGAATAAAAAAAAATATTTACATAATAATAGGTTATTTATAATTTTATGTTAAGTTAAACATTGCAATTAATTAATTGGGTTATTATATTTCTATTAATTAATTAGTTATTACTCAATTAATTAAAAATATGTTATTTAAAAACTAACAAAATGCAAAAACTATAAATATTTACAATATTTTAAGTAACCTTAGAAATAAACTTATATTTATTTTATACAATTTAAAGACACATTTATCTCAAGAACTTAGTAATAGAGTATTACTAATACTACATAAGTTTAACAAAACAAAAATATTGTTTTATATATGAATTATTTTCAGGTCTAACATTTAATATTTCAAATGTGAAAAATATTAGTAAATGATAAAAAAAAAATAATAATATTGTTAATTGTTTTCTTGTTTGTATTTGTTTGTTGATTTGAAACATAATATCCTATTTTAATGAAATAGTGAATAACAATAATAAGATTTTATTGAAAAAATAGCATTCGTGTGAAAAAACGTGACTTTTCTACCTGTACTGCGTTTATGACTATTATACTAATATACCTGAGCTCTGACCATACAAAACATCACGTTTACCTTTTCATGTATCTGACTGTGCGCTAACATTCAATAGGTTTACTGGAATTTGATATAAAAATAACTTTTTATATGTTTATCACTCAAATTTGTTAATTTAAATTATGTTTCAAAACAAATGGTTTGCTAAATTTTTTTCAAAAATATTTAAACAAATTAATAATTATTTATTAAAATTAATTTAAATTCTATACAAAATAATGAATACTTGTGTCACCGATTCCGTGACACCCATTACTACTAACACCCGTTCAGTAAACCATTTCTCTGAACTACAACTAAATGAAATGCAAAACGTGAAGAATGAGTTGATATCGATTCCAATGATTGATACCGAAAATACTTATCAATCGACTATTAATTGGCCACAAAATGGTTACGAATTAATTAATAATAATCCATATAATTATTATGAATACATTACAGATGAAACAGTTCAACAAAAAAGTTATTATTATCCCCCAGTCTTGCAATCAATGGGTTATCAAAATGTTTCGCATTTGTCTAATGATTATAATACCTGTCAAACGACTTATACTGAGAGTACAATTGAATATCAAAATTATGCAAACAATGAAATGAATGATCAAAATCAAAGAATGACAATTCAAGACAACTATTATAACTCAACAGATGTGTCGAAATGCAGTGCAATGATGGACACGGAATCAACCAGTGATGGTATGACATCAATGACATCTATACCATCCAATTGTATTCATACATATAATTCAATTATAATGAATTCGTTGAACTCATCGATAAATAAGCAAAATATTCAGTTTATGAAAACCATTGAGTTCTTGAGGACCACGGATTTGCTTCATCTCACACTACAAACGGCTGATTTGATGTATAAGAATCTGGAGATTCAAAATGATATCAATGCCACCAAACAATTGCTATCATTGTAAGGATCAATGAAAATGCGATAATTTTTTCTGTTTATTTCAGGACTGAAAATGTTTGGTATTATGAATTTGGCATAAGATATATAAGTAATATAAAACAGTTTAATCTATGTATTAGATAATCGCAAACAATTTGATAAAAATTTCAAAATGCCATCAAATGGGGAGTAAAGATAACAAAGTTATTGTTTTTTTTTGTCACTGATTATAACTATTTGTAATTAATTGTAACCATAATAAGATAATTATGTTAAATATTGTTTTATTTATAAATTTATATATCATATCTCGTATATTAATACTATATGTAGTAAATTGTGTGCTGACTCTAGTTCTGTATATTTAATACTGTATTATCTCGTTTATGAAACAAAAGTTTGCAAATTTGTTATATCGAGATATTATAAATTTAATTAATAAAGAGTATGAATATTTAATATTTAACCATGCACAAATTATCATTGTAATTAATGTATATTTAATAAAATTATTTATTAAAAAATAAAAGTTTTATTTTCATTCATATTTTTAGTTTGAAAGTAACAAAAAAAACAATTAGTTTTGATTGAGAAAACTTGTTATCACTTTACTGTTACATCACTTTAAAATTGATTCATATATTAAGCGCCAAACTATAAGCATAACAAACAAATAACGCATACATTTAGCACAGGGTTTGCAAACTTTGTAATTATATAATGGGTTTGTTTTATATGCCATTCAATACTCGACTCGTTATTCATTGTATTGAATATTCAGTTGAATTGATTGACAAATTGAATACAAAATTCATTTAACAAAACGTTTGTAAACTAATAGACAGATTGTGTTGTTTATTGCCGATAGTGGCCACAAATCGCCGATAAAATGGCACATTTGGACAAATTGATGATTCAGGGCATCCGTAGCTTCAATCCCGACGAAGCGCAGTCTATTAAGTTTTATCCGTTGACTGTTATCTTGGGTCCCAATGGCGCCGGCAAGACGTCCATCATTGAGGCGCTTAAGTACGCGACCACTGGTCTGTGGCCACCAAACAGTTCACAGGGCAAGACATTTGTGTTGGATCCTATTGTGGCCAATAAACCTACTGTTAGGGCACAGGTCAGGCTTAAGTTCAATGATGTGGAGCGCAAATCAACGACAATCACCAGAAGTCTTGAATTGAATGCACGCAAAACAAAAGGAAAGACATCATTGAGTCTGAAGACATTGAATTCAGTTATCAATAGAGACAACAAACCAATTGATCAAAGATGTGCCGACATTAACAACGAAATGCTTGAATTGATGGGCGTATCTAAGGCTGTCTTGAATAATGTTATCTTTTGTCATCAGGAAGACTGTAATTGGCCTCTCAGTGATGGTAAGGCTCTTAAGGAGAAGTTTGACGACATCTTTGGTTCCGATGGTTATGTGAAAGCATTGGAAAGGATTAGAAAGTTAAGAAAACAAGAGTTGGATAAATATAAACTTCTAGATAAAGATGTTAAACATTTGGAGTTTATTAAACAACAATTGGATTCAAAACGCAAAGAACTTAATAAATATAAGACACAATTGGATACTCTGAAGACAATGTATGCCGAAAGTGAGACACAATTAAATGATAAGAAAGAAGAATTGGATACAATTGTACGTAAAGAAGAAACAGTTCAATCAATTATCAATAAAATCAATTTAATCAAAGGATCGCTAACTGAAAAACAGAAGAATTTAAACAAATTGAAAGCTAATATAAAAACTCCTTTAACTTCAACAGAGAGTGAAATTAGGACCGAAATCGACAACTTTGCTGATAATTGTCTCAAATCTGAAGAACAAAAGAAATCATTGGAGTCTAAAGTTACAGATTTATCTCAAAGTTATAAAGAACTCAATGAAAAACAAAAAGGTTTTAACAAAGAGTTAAATGAACTGCAATTTGCAGAGAAACGATTGGAACAGCTTTATAGCGAAAGAAATCTATTAGTTGTCAAATTGCCAGAAACCACAAGTATTACTATTGATGACAACATTATTAATAAATTAAAGTTAAATGAAAGTCTTGAGAATAATGATGTCTCGAATGTTTTGAGCGCTTTAGACAATGAATTAACTCAATTGAATCAACAAATTGGCGACAGAAGAAATGAGGTCCAGAAATCAAACGGCGATTTATGTGAAAAATTAAGTCTTTTGCGGTCAACTCAAAGCAAATATGAACACGAAGTTCAACTAAGAACTGATGAACAAAGTGCTAAAATTAAAGCTTCAGAAGGATTTGAAGCGAAACTTAAAAAGTTTTCTAAATCTGAAGCAGAATTAGAATTACTTATCAAAGATATACAAAGGCTTACACAAGAAATCAAGCAAATGGAGAGTCAAGACATGGACAGTAAAAAAAAGGATAATGAGTTAAAAGAAGACCAACGAAAAAATTTGAAGAATGAGATCAATGTTTTAGAGGAAAAATTAAATGTTTTGCGCCAACAAAATGACGAACGAATTAAATTAGATATTTTAACTAAAGATAGAAATGAAAAGCAAACTAAAGTCAAACAAATCAGTGAAATATATAATGAAGTGATGGAAAAGGTTGGCGCCATTGAGGGACAGTTCTATTCTTCTCTTCAAAATCATTTACAGACTGTCACCACTCAAATAGAGAAAAAGTCAAATGAGGTCTCGAAGAAGGAAAATCAATTGAGTGCATCCGTGGCTAAGACAGAGAGTGATAATAATTCTCTTAAAGAGAAAAAGAAAAAATTGAAAGAATTGGAATCAAATGTTAAGAAATTGTGTAAATTAGATGATTTTGAAACCACAGTTATTTCAGCAGACAATGAGCTTAAAGAATTGAGACTTCATTTTTCTGAATTAGAAAATTATGAACCATTTCTTAAGACTCAGATTCAGTCGATTGAGAGCACAAATTCGTGTCCAGTTTGTGAACGGGATGTTATCACTGATTGGAATTCTAGTAAAGGAAACAAACTTAACAAAAATGAATTAATTGTTAAATTAGAGAAAATGGTTACTCAAACACCTGAAGAGATAACAGTACTGAAGACTAAAATTAAGACTAAAGAGAAAGAGTATAATGAGTTGATTGCTTTGCGTCCAATTGTGGCATCAATTAAGTCTTTGACTGAAGAGATACCTAGACTTGAAGCTAAAGTTAATTCCTTAAAAGAGGAAAATGATTCAAATAAAGTAACCATTGATAAGGAGAAAATGATTATCAATAAACAAAAGAATGAATTGAATACATTAAGAGCTGTTTCTCAAGAGGCCAGTGATTATGATAAGTGTTGGACTGAAATACAGGAGTTGAACAAAAAGATAGATTCAATTGATTTGGACACTGATTTGGAAACTCAATCAATTGAAGAATTGTCAAATGAATTGCAAGAAAGGCGTAAATTATACGATGAAATTGAGACACAAATGTCTGCAAATCATAAGTTGATTGCAGAATATTCTAATAATTACAACAAAAAACAAACTGAATTACAAAGATGTGAGCGCAAGAAATTAGATATCGAGAAGAATGAACACGAAATGTCCAGTTTTAAGAAGAAAATTGCAGAACTCAAAGATGAGATCAAAACTTTGGACGACTCTATAATTGATTCACAAATGAAAGCTATGGATTTAAAACCAAAAATTAGTGAAACTGAGACTCAATTGAAAGATGTAAACAATGAGTTAAAAGAATTTGAAGACAATATTAATACGAAAATAGTTTTACTTAAAGAAAAACAGAAAGACTTGGAGAGAATGAATAAAGAGATTGATAATCATATCAATACTCAAAGTTCTGATAAAATGAATGAATTGAACACTTTATTAACTGAATTGAAAACTGATTTGTCACGAGTCGAGTCTGAAAGAAAAACAATAACGGATGAGATCATCAATATATCTAAAGAGATATCTGGTTTTGAAGTAAAAAAGCGTGAATTAACTGATAGTCTTCAATGTCTTGAGATTCAAACTGAAATAGACAGCGAAACCGTTAATCTTAAGACTGAAGAAGAAAAATTAGGTTTTAGTAATATTCGTGAATTAAAGACAAAGAAAAGCGAAATGGAAAGAGAAGTGAGAAAATTGGAATCACTTCGATCACAGTCTGAGGCAAAACAAACACCTATTATTGAAATGATTACGAGATTAGAAAAAGATGTTAAACTGGAACCGTTCTGTAGTGCAGAAGTCAAATACAAACAAAAATTTATTGATTTAGCCATTAGTGAGATAGCCGGCGAAGATCTCAATAAATACTATAAAGCACTGGATTTTGCAATTTCTGATTTTCACAGCAAAAAGATTGAAGAAATTAATAAACTTATTAAAGGTTTTTGGAAACAGGTTTACAAAGGCGTTGATATCGATTACATTAAGATAATGAGCGATGAAATTGAAAGAAGTGCTGATAAGCGCCGAGTATTTGATTACAGAGTAGTTATGGTTAGAAATAACACTGAGATGGATATGAGAGGGCGGTGTAGTGCCGGACAAAAAGTGTTGGCCTGTCTTATCATACGACTAGCTTTGGCCGAAATATTTAGCGCTAATTGTTGTGTACTGGCATTGGATGAACCGACCACTAACTTAGACAGTCATAACATATCATCGTTTGCTACCGCTATCACTGAAATTGTCAAATACCGGAGCAAATGGAAGAATGCAAACTTCCAGTTGATTATCATTACACACGACGAAGAGTTCTTGCGATGTCTTGATTCAGATACCGGTCAGTACTACTATGAAGTGTTCAAAACAAACGGCTTTTCCACTATTGTTCGCAAATCTGTTGCCGATGACAACGATCACACCGCTGATGGAGATAACAGTTAAATAAATTATTATTGAATTTTTTGTATTGAAATTCATGTCTGGAAATAATTTTTGTTTTATTAACTAATCGTTCATTAATTATTCATTTTAAATATTTGTTATATTTTTTATAAAAAATTATTATTCAGTTAACGTAAAATTAATTTAAAAATTATTTTTATTGCTATAATTTACCGGTAATATTGACATTATTATTGTAATGTTTATATTGATTGTCAAACATATGTTTATTATACAGTAGTTTATCTATTAATCACAACATTTGATATTTGAAAAGTTAATTACAAATTCAATGATTTTATCAATTTATTTGTCTTAACATTTAAATGTAATTATTATTATTATAACTAATAAAGAAATGAATAAAATATTTGCAAATTTATTAAAATCTCGATTTAATTGTCAAACAAACGATGTGTTTGTCCGACACGTGAGGTCTCATACCATCAAAGGAGTGGACGAACCAAAGTATTTGGATTATCTTAAGCCACAAATACCTTACTATTCATTGATTAACGTTCAGGTGATTGTCAAAGACAGACATCAATATAAGACAATTTAACAAATAATGGTTTTTTAACTGATTAGATCCGCGGCTACGACTTTGCTGTCCTCGAGAGTTATGGCAGATATATACACATTTTATTAAACAAATTGGGTGTAAATGTTGTCAAGTATTGGTGTTCACCGCATCAGTCCATCAAATATGAGTCACTTAAGCCACAGTCAGAAGTTAGCGAAAGTCAGTTCACACTAAATCTGTACGAAAGGAATGTCCAGATCGAGCACTTGTCGGCTAAAATGGCACCACTTCTTCTTGAAATACTGTACTCATCCGCACCGGTCGGCGTCCAACTCAATGTCCATCCACACCACCATATATTACACGAAGAGAACCGATTTATACCGGACCTACAGTTGGCTGCATTTAAGGCTGAACTCAAAGAACTTAAGGGTAGCCAAGAGTCGGACATCAATTAGTTATTTCTAGTTTTATGATATATTTATATAATAAGTATTTTTTTGTATAGTTTTAGTATAAATACAATAAAAAATTAATTGATAGTAACTGTTATTGAAATGATAATTAATATATCAAACAAAAATGTAATAAAAGTTTTTTTGCACGATTTAATTGATTAAAATTAAACAAATAAAACATGTCTCGCATCTCATGTTTCGAAATAATTATTGCAAATTATTTCAATACATTTTATATAAATCTATAAAATATATATTTATTTTTCGTTTGAATTTGAAACTGAATTTGTTTAATCAATTTATTCAATTTTTTCAATTCAATTTAAAGCAATTTATTCACAAATAGTAATGTATTTTTCAGTGATAATTATCTTTAAGTTAATTTCATCGATAGTCTCATTGACTTTGTTCTGCACTAATGACACCCGAAATAGTTTAGTGGACACAGTGTTCAGCGCTAAGGGAATAATCTATGCCTTTCGTAAACCAAATGTTTGGTTAATTGAGAAGAATAGGGCACACAATTGGTACCAAATCGGTGATGCCTTTAAATTACAAGATTTGTTCAAAGGTTTAGTCAATTCATTAGTTTTACTCATTATTTTAAGATTAATCCAATGAATAAACCGACAGATTTTCCTCACAAAAGCTTTGACGGCGCTATAGTGATGACAGACATTGTCCGCTGTAACGACTCGGTCATTGACTGTCCGTATTCATCACCAGAGTTTGATCCGTCGAACATAACGCTAATATTTTTTGGCGAAAACTTTTATATCTATCGGCGCATCAATGAAGGATTATTCACTCGTTATGAATGGGGTGACCGACAAAACACGACTATTCCGTGGAAACTCAAGGAATCGGAGAGTCTAAGTATTAAAAGATTGTTTGCTATTGAAAATGATGTCAAACGTATTGATGGTGCAGTCTATATGATGCCCAAAGACATGAATAGTCCGATCAGAAAATTGGGACTTTTATATAAAACACAAGGATTACAAAAATTCAAAGAATACAATATCGGTAGCGAATCGTTGACTCAAAAGGAGTTTATTTTGAATCCCGGATTAACTGGACAACCGATGGGAGGAATGTCGCCATTTGCTAAAGACCTCACTTTTATATCCGATAACACACTCTACTCTTTAGAGTTGAAACACGATTTTCAAAAGAAATCAATGCTTTACCCAAAAGTTTGTCAATCAATTTTGATTTGATTTTAATTAATTATTAAATAATATTACCGGTAATTATTATTTATTTGAAATACTAGAATAAAACAGCCTGGCAATTTTTTAATTGCGATACATTAAAAGTGGAAGAATCAACTCTGACTACAAATACCACAACCTCAACAACTATTCAGATGAATAGCACTTCTCAAGAAACGAATACAACTTCAACAACAAATTCAATGACAACTTCAACTACAACGATGGCGGCTATAACAACAACTAAGTCATACATACCGATTGAAACAGAGAAGCAAATCGGACAGATAGACATAGTTGAGTTTGACGAGGACAGGGAGTATCGCCGCAATGTCCTCACTGTAATAATCTATATATTTACTATAGTTTGTGTTGCAATGATTTTGTCATCTTTCTTAACATTTATTACATTCAAAATTATACATTAAATTTGTTGTTTAGCTATTAATATAAATCATATAATACTTTAATATAAAAATTATATATAGTATATACATGTATATACTGCAGTATATTCTTTATAATTCAAGTTATATTCAAATTCAAATGATTTATTGTAATAATTATACGAAATTTATTTTTTATATGACTAAATATTTCTTATTATTATTACAACTGTAATATTATCAATCTTATACTAGAAATTATAATCTTATCAAAAATATATAACCGGTACTTTTAGTAATTTAATAATAATAATTTATTAATAATAATGATGATATACTGTAATATCATAAATAATTTAGATTGCAATAACATTTAGTTTATTTATAATTTTAGTTTTTTATAGTTTAATATTTCATTCATTAACATAACTTTCAAATGTCAGTAGTTAAATAAATATTATTTTTAATTTGTAATTATTATCATTAAAAATAATTAATTCAAATTAGTTTGTTGACATAATTTTTATTTTAAAATTAAAACATATTTAATATAAACTATTTATATTTTTATAATTGATAATAGTATAAAACATGCTTAATTAAAGTTTATACTGTAATTTAAACTGTGTGTATATATTTACATGTGTTAAATAAATATTATAACAAAGTATATATTGCCCGATAAACCAAATTAATTAAACCATAATATTTGTCTTTTCAAAGTAGCTTACCGTACGGTAACATAAAAACCAATTGCTTTTAAATATTCATAAAAAATTCAGATATGATATTACTTTGAAAAAGTTAATGTTATCATATTATCTGATAAATTAATTTTAATAAATGCAAATTGTTTACCGGTACCAGTATGTTAAAATACGTTACTATGAAAAGATATAAATTTATTATAGTTTATATACCGGTACTGTATATATAAATACCATAGTTTTCAATAGAAAAATATTGTCATTGACTAGATTTTTAGGGAATGCTTAACAAATGTATCATTTAATTGTAGATTAAGTTTTGTTATTAATTATGGGAAACATTAATACTTTTGCTCTCATAAATGACAGATTCGGCAACTCATCCAATACTTGTAGAGCTTCGGCACTCAACACCTGATTTGTATCTGATTTAACTGTTGACGTTGTGTTGCCCACAGATGTTAGGATTTGTTGCATAAGATTTGTTTTAATTACCGGTAAGTCATTAGAAGAAGTCGAGTCCATATCACAAGTGTTACCATTCGTATCATTTAAGAAATTATCAAAATCTATCAGAAGAAACAAATTATTATAATGTATTATAATGTAATACAATAATGTTTATTATATTAAATGATTAGATAGTTTACCTGAAAATATGTTGCTGTTATTAGGTTTATTGATATCATCACTAGTAATAAAAAAATCCAAATCAAAAACACCTTTTGCCTGTTCATTGACATCCAATGGATTTTTTAAACCACTTGAACTCCAATCAAATTGCACGGGAGGTATAGATGTCGTGGATAAGTCTGTATTAATTACATCATTTTCGATGCCATCGTTTGATTCATTATACGCTAAATGTTTGGTCGGCTCCAAGACATATCCCAAACCCGATGCAAACATAGGCACTGATGAGTTACGTAACTATTGAAATATATATATAAACAATATATACATTTAGTTGCAATCTTTACTGGAATTACTTAAAGTAAATTAAACACTTACAACAAAAATAAACTAATAAAATATCAACAACTAAATTGATTGTTTTGAAAAAAAGATAAATAAAGCAATAAATTATTAATTGTAAAAATGCATTGAAAAGCTCTTACAAAAAACTAGAAGTCATCCAAAAGAACACATTCCTAGAAATGGTTTGAAAACCCAAAAAATGTCTTTTATTTGAAAATTAAGTTTTGTTTTGTTTATATAAAATATATCCGACAATTGTATAGCAAATATTTTATATTACGGTATATTTATAGATAGTATATGTTGTAATTTTATTAACTAAATAATAACTTACGATATTTCGGGGATCAATATTAAGTGCAGCTAAAAGAAGATGAAATGAATGAGAGTTAGGCCACCTGTGCTTAAGTGATGGCGCGCTCTCTAAATCTTGTAGTCGTTTCCATAAAGTTTTACTGATTATATTAAATTCAAAACAAATTAAACTTAAATTAAACTATAATTTAATACTTAATACTAACCTATTTTCTTCAGTATTATTAAAAAAATCTTTTGATATAACAATAGAGTTGTCATCTGAACTGACATTAGATTCTTCAATAGAAAACATTTGAGCAAATAATTTGGATAACTTAGAAATGTCTTGATTTTCATCAATAATTGGTATATCATTTGGTGCACAATATATTGAAGATTCTTGTTTTGAACCAATTGATTGAAAAGATGTAAAATCAGCAAATTCTTCGTCATTATCTGCAAACTCAAGGGTTTGTTGTTCACTGAAGTCATTCTTTTGCTCGAAAGTCGATTGTATATCAGTTTGAAAGACTGGTTGGGAAGACTCGAAATCTGCAAACTCCTCGTCGTCACTGTCATTATGAATGGTAACGTTGTTACCACTTATTTGTAGTTCACTACTCTTTAAATTTAAATTATTTGAGTCGATATTTGAAGTGTCAGCTCTTTCATCAAAAGATATATCACTTTTATAAAAGCTGAACGATTGATCTTCATTTGCAATTTGGTTATCTGTTTTTTGTTGCCAATTGTTGTCATTAAATGAAGCAAAATCTGCAAACTCTGACTCTTCATTGTCTTCGTATTCATTACTTTTAAATTCATTGACCACTTCTTCTTTTTTTTCTTTAATTTCCAAATTATCATTTAATTTCTCGATATTTTGTGGTTCATTTAATAGACTAATATCGGTGATATTGTCATCATTTATATCTTTCAAGTTATTATCATCAATAGGATCTAATTCAAGATCCTGTATATTCAAACTATTATCATTACTATCAATGTCTTCAACATTAAGATTATTAATATCGGAAATAATTGTATTAATACTATCGTCAGTAATATTATTATTAAAAACAGTGTCCTTCACCTGAATATTATTATCATTATTATTGCAACTGCTTTGTGGATCAGTTGATGGTGTCATCACATTTGTTTTATTATTATCGATCACACGATTATCATCAAATGTGGTCACATTTTCGGGTTCGGGTGAAGAGCTGCTGTCGTGAAGTGAATGCACGTCCAGATCGTCATCAGTGGTGCTGTCATTAACATCGAGTGGCGGCGGAGTTGTCGGTATAATTGGAAAGTTAGACATCACTTATAGTAGTCATACATATGTTTTTGCATATGTCTTAAGCTATCACTTCAATCACAACCACATAATAATTGTAACAATTTTTGACAATATGTTTGATTCACTCAATACTGCATTTGACTCTAATGTGTTACTATAGCAACCATAAGTTGTCTCAACATTTAAAATTTAAATGCCATTCACTGATGGCATACATATCATCATCAATGATATCATCGATAAGAGAGGATATCACAGAAATAAGTCTTAAAGTATAATTGAATTCATATTTATAATAATACTTAATACCAATAACTTAGTAAATATATATGTTTTAATCAAATATTCAATTTATTATTAGCATATTTCAATTGCAACAATTTTTATTAGTTTTTTAAAATAATTTTTATTAGTTTTTTAAAATTTTTATTATAAATAATCATTATTTTATTCAATAACATTTGTACCTTTAATTAGTTTGTGATATTTATGTAATTTGTTTATATATATATATATATATATATATTAATAATGTATTACTAATTTATATATATATTAATAATATTTTAATCGATTAATAAAAAACTTATTAGTAATATAATAATTAATTAGTTGTTTCATCATTTCTGGTCAATGCGTGAAAAGCAAATAATTTCTCTTCAATTTGTTTCATAAGATTTTTGATGTCATTGTTGAGATCTAAAGATCAAACAAATAATAAAAAATAGTATTATTAGTCAATCGAGACATGAATAACATTAAAAAATAATTGCATTACAAATGATTTTATTCCTCGCCATCCGGATCTGATAGATGTCGATATCATTTCGGGGAAAGCCATCGCTGTCCACCAAAGAGTCATTCAAACCAACCTTTTGCTGTTATTTATAATATTGAGGATAAAAGTGTCAAAAATGAGTACAATTGATACAATGGTTATGTTTGATGGTTTGATCATATGTTTGGTTATGTCTTACAGTTTTTAAGATGTTTTGCCACTCTTTCATTTCACTCTCCATTTTAGATCTCTTTTGATTCAAATCAAGTAACTCTTGTCGAAGCGATTCTCTATCAGTTGACGCCATATGAATGGTCACGGGATGTGTTGGCCAGTGATCACAAATAATAACAGTTTGTGTGCAATGACTGAGCAGTAAAAGTCATATCAAATCAAATGAAAAGTTAGACTCAAATCAAATACAGTATTAATACTAAAACAGTGTAAACATAACAACCATTTGATGCCATCTATTGATTGCATTTAATTCAAGACACTATTGTTTGCCGCTATAAATGATTAATAGATCATAAATAGTGTTACAATTATATGGAGTTTTTAAAGCTATAAATGTATTGCAATATTGACTTTGTTTGGCAACAATAGTATACAACATATATGAGTGATGTTGTAGTGGGAGGTGTGGTATGTGTTGAGTGGGCGGACACTAACTGTTTGTTATAAAGTGAAGGCTTGACTGCAATTGAATGAAAGTCTTATTACAATCACTGCTATTGTTGTGACCAAAGAAGACACGGACACCAAAACCACAGATATATACTTACCAACTATTATTTGGCCAAACAGTGTGACCTCCGGCCAGTGTCGGTGTGTGCGGGCATATGTTAAGTGCTGGTGAGTGACGGCTCCGGGTGTGGTCGTCATCAGTGACGGCCATTTCAATTGGATGTCTTTGATTTCAGTCAAACAGATTGACATTTGATGACAACCTGTGCCACACATACTATACCATACATACCATACATACAGGTATTGATTGACACACTATTTGCTTACTATTTATATATATATATATATATTTAATGCTTTTATATTTACTTTTAATTTGACAAAACATTTATTATTAATATATGTTTTCATATTAAATGATAATTTATAAATATTAATCAATCAATGATTTAATCACATTTAATACATATATTTTTAAATTATTGTAATTATTGTTTGTTTTTATAAATTAATAAATTATACAAATATAACTGACTATTTAATTGCAATTTAAAACCATCATTATATTATAATATGTTATAATTGTTTATTAATATATTATTCATATTATCATATATTGTTTTATTTATTTTTATATAATTTAAGTTATATATTATATTTAAGATAATGAAATATATGAATTATATAAAATGATAATATTAATATAGTTTCTAATAATAGTAAAAGTAGGAAATTATATTAAATTAAAAATAGAGATAATTTTAAAAATTTTAATTATTTTTTTTGGACTTAATTATAGTGTTTAGTTTGAAATGAGATTAACAACTATATTAATACTGTATAAGCAAATTATAAATGAATTTCTCAATCTTATTAGCCATCAGTTAATACAATAGATTATTGTAGTTATAATACACAAAACAATTATAAATGACTGATATGATAGAGGTATGTGTTTCATGTGGTTTATAATAGTTTAGGTACAGTAAGTTTGGAGGTGTGAGGTTAGGTTTGAGTAGATTTCGATAGATTTGATTGAGTTAGTAATTTTGTATTAATATTTATTTAATAGTCATTAAAATAGCATTGTTTTGATTTTTATAGATAATTATTAGATTATTGCAAAATAGAATGAACCAGTTTTTTTACAATAGCTTTTATTGGAAATATGGTTTGTTTGAATAAATACATTTATATATCAAATTTAAATTTATAATGGCATCAGTATAATATAAATGTGCATATCTTAAAGACTATAGTTTATAAATTTTAACAATTGTAAAACAAGTATCAAAGCTATATAAATTTATTTAAAGTTGCTAACTGTAGAATTTACATATTTACAAAAATATTCCTTATTTTTATTATTAATTAATGTAAAATGAAGTATTTTTATGAATATCTCAAATTTTAAGAGCAGATTGTAATAAATTAATACTTTATTCCACTTATAAACAATAATTTGACTATTTTATACTAGAAGAGGCTATCATATATAATTTATATTTCAATTTTTATATTGAAAATTATATTAAAAATTCATATTAGTTCAATAATTTTTTTATAACTAGTATAATTTGACGTTAAAAGAATTTTAATATTAGAAATATCAAGTTGAAATTTGATAACAAGTGTATACGTTTCAAAATATCATTGCTATTACATAAAATATCTTATTCTCTTTTATTAAAAAAATATTATTAAAAAAATATAATTAAAAAACTAGTTCACCCATTTTGCAATTGATATTATAATAATATGTTATAATTATATTCTAATGAAATACTGAACACTATATTCATGTATTACAATGAAATTTATTATCAAACAAATTGTTATGAAACTTAGGTCTAAGTAATATAATATATTAAAACAATGAATGATTAAAAAGTGCTAAAATTCATTATTTTATTATTGTAATTAAAATTTCTATAAAATCTTTATACAATAAAATTGAAATTCAGTAAAAATTTGTATAATTATAAAAATGCATTTATTTATTAAGTTGCAAACATTTAATTACAAACAATTAAGTCATAAATCATTTACTTTTGTTGGCGACTGTAGTTTTATGTTATATTATTTGGATGACTAATATTGACATTTACGGTACTGAATAATAATATGTTATATTATGATATATTATTAAAATATAATGTTTATTATTATTGTTTTATATTTAATATTTTTTATTAACTCAATTTTTGATAAATATTATGATATACAGTATAATTTCATTTATTGTTGTAGACTATACAAAGTTAATGATTTTTTAATAATGTTTTTTTTAATAAGTAGTATTTATAATTGTAATATTAATAATAAAATTTTTATATTAGATGTTGTTTATCGTCTTAATTGAAAGATTGACATAAATATTGAATGCAAATTACTATTTATTTTTAGGTTATTTTTAACATTAAAAATGTGTAATATAATTATCATTATTCATGAAAAATAATATTCAAAATATATATAATATAGTTGTTTAGTGCGCCTTGATAATTTATATATATAATTTATTAATATAAAAAGTTGTATAAATAAATATTAATAAAAATTAATGTTTGATTTGACGATAAAGTTCATGTCTTAAGATAATTTAAGGCGTCTTTATATTTCTTTTAATATAATGACTGTCTATTAAAATATCAAATAATTATTGTAAATATAACATTAACTTGAATTATAAATTTTATATATAATTTTTATTTTGACTTTATATTTAGGAAATTTAAAATTTTATCACATTTTTTGAACCACGAAAGATTAAAATTCATAAAAATAGCTTTTGATTGATATTATGGACAACCACTCGGATTCATCGACTTCAGTGACCGATGAGGAAGAAGATGACAATAGTCGTCAAAAAAACGAGACAACAACTGTTGAGTCGATGCTAAAGATGTCACCCAAAATGTATACCGAAGGGACAGATGATCCCATTATGGAGGACCAGTCATCTCCTCCTCTTTCCAAACAACAGTTTGAAGAGGACAAGAAAGCTGTCTATAAGGTATGTCATATCCATATCATGTATTTATTAAATAAAAAATTACATTTCTTTTGACTATTTTTAATAATTATGAATAGCACCCACTGTTTCCATTGCTAGCATTACTATTGGAGAAGTGCGAGAGTGCGACCTCAACATTGAATACCTCATCCATAAGTGGTCCCTCTTTTAATGCTGAGATAATGGCATTTGTTGAGCACCAACAAAGAGATGGCAAACCATTTCTTAGTGATAATCCTGAAGTGGACTCACTTATGATTAAAGCTATTCAAGTCCTTAGAATTCATTTATTAGAGTTAGAAAAAGTTTCAGATTTATGTAAAGATTTTTGTCAACGATATATCAGTAAGTCTTTACTAATTAAATATCAATAATTAATGTGAAATTAATTGTTTGTTTGTTTGTTAAGCCTGTTTACGCACAAAAATGAGTTCAGAGAACTTACTTCGTGGCACTTCAAGTGTCGGCGCCAACTCTGATAATAACTCCAATAGTGCCAACTCTTTATTTGATGGCTCGTCGTGTTCTTCAGATGCAGAATCTGATGACTTTCCCATCAGTTCATCACAAACAACATTTCCCTCAAACTCAACTCCTCAAACCGTTTACCAAATGGTTCAAACGGCACAGGGATTAGTCGCACAACCTATCCATTTGAACTCAACTCAGCAAATAAGTGGATCCACGCCTATCACCCAAATTGGCACAAATATTAGCCATAATAATACTAATAATAATAAGAATTTAATCCATAAGTCACATCATGTCAGTAGAGATAGCGATAATGACGATGAAATGAGTGATGATTTAGATAGTAATCACAGCACTGGCAGCAAAAAGAAGCAACAAAAGAGAGGTGTACTCCCAAAACAGGCCACATCTATAATGAGATCATGGTTGTTTCAACACATTGTGGTATTAATTTAAGTTTATTTGGCTTTTACCGCTAATTTTTTAAATGACTAAACATAAGTTATCTCTATATTTGACAGCATCCGTACCCAACTGAGGATGAAAAACGAACCATTGCTTCGCAAACGAATCTCACATTACTTCAAGTGAACAATTGGTTTATTAATGCTCGTCGAAGAATACTTCAGCCAATGTTGGATACGGCAAATACATTGGGTGACAATCAGTCTGTTCCCAATCAAAGCACATCCAAAAGTGTGACTAAGAGTTCGACACCCAAGAAGCTGAAGACATCTAACTCTATGCAACGCTTTTGGCCGCAATCTATAGCCAACTCAATACAAGGTCTCTCTCAAAGTGAATCTTCTAAATAGAGAGCTTTTATGGGCAAAGGATTGCTTTTACATTAAATGTTTAAATGTATAGTCATTAATGCCATTATGTCTTGAGTCTAATTTGCAGACAGTATTATTGATCACATTATGTATTATAGTACACATACCATACAATTTATAATAATAATAATAGATTTTCTAATACTATTTAATTGCCTCTACTTATAAATATATATATGAAAAGTCAAAATAGTTTATCAATAATTTTGCAAACTATAAGAGTTTAAATTTCAAATCAAACTCACTTTTTATGTACAGTAATATAACCTTAAAACTACCAATAAATAGCTAATAATAAATTGTAATTTCGGTAAGTTTTTTTCAAGTCAATACTCGCAAAAATTATATGTATTTATAATAATTAATAATATTTTTGTTTTATGAATATTGAAATTATTAATTTTTAAAAAAGCATATCATTTGAGACTTATTTTTAATTCTAGTTATATTTTGTGTCAAATTATTAATTCAGGTTATCTAATAATTTGTTGATAGTGTTTATTAAATATTATTTTATCAAATATTTTGTGAATATAAAACTTAAATTTTCAAATATTAACAATTAGTATAACTGAAAGTTATAATGTAAATGAATTTTTTTGAAAATAAGTTTATAAAAAATGATAATAAAATTAATTATGATTATTAATAACATTTGTTATGTATTACCAATAGTTATATATTATTTAATGACATCTTAAGCATATTATTTGATAATCCAATGCTATGGACATACAGTATGTTAAGCATTGCCTCACATTAAAAGATAGACAACAAGGAAACAGACAGAAACTGTTAGTTCAAAGTCTACGACAACATTGTGTGAGAAACAGACAGACAGAGTAAGTAATGTTTGACAGAGTTTGCCATTACTTTGAAAGTCTAGAATTGAGAGCTGAGAGCTAACATTGGAGTGGATGTTGGCTTTAGAGGACTGGCTCACCAATGCTGGTGTGTGTATGTGTCTAGTGTTGCACTACTGCTTGTGCTCAGTGATTGCAAATGAAAGTACATTCATATGAATGCTGTGAGTCCACCATATTATCGAAAGAGAGGGGAGACTCGCCTATGGATCAGCATTTGTAGTCAACTAAACACTATATTTATTAGTGATTTTTATGTATTTATTCAAATTAATTAAATAATTGAATGACAATTTATGGTAAGTGAATGATTATTAAAATAATATATACTATATTATATGACCATGGTTAGTTTTGGTCAGTCAGGTTCCAATCGAGTGCATCCCTGTGCCCACCAATTTGGTTGTGGTCCTAAACAGACACCTCTTTTATATAGTATTCACTATACGCTCTCCATATACTCCCCAACACATTAATGTCGAATAGATTCTCCCTGTGCTGTAAACTACAGGTCTAACCAACAAAACTGCTGACTTTACTTGAATACTGTTTAAGTTAAACACTTCGATAAACTTTATTATTATTATTATTATTAGGCAAACCATACCAACTATTGTAAAGTTATGATTGCAATTAATAATAGTAATAAAAATTGATTTATTATATCATATATGATATTTACAAATGCAAAATCATATTTCATTTTCCTTATATTTTTCAATATATTATACAAACAATTTTAATTATAGTATTATTTGATGTCAATTTTTATTAATTTATACCGACATTATATTATGATAGGTATACTAAATTTAATTTTAACAGTTAATAAATGCCATTACTTTTGTCAAATCGACTAATATAACTAAAAAATGCATATAGTTTATTATTATTATTATAAACTAGTATTTACGATAACATAAAAATTGAATTGTCAAAAATAAAAATAGTGGCACAATTAAAATTTATAAATTAATATTAATTTGTAATATATATTCAATTTATACAATATATTTGCCCCAATTTATACAATATATATAATACCAGGGGCTATAAATGATTGAAAATTTTAACTTAAAAATACAGTAATTGTGTTAAATATTTCAATCATAATATAAAGAATAATAATATTACAATTTTATGATCTATAGTACTTTATGTCTAATTTAAATGCATTTTACAGTATAATATAATCATTGCAAAACTATTGCATATCATTTTAAGTACTATACAAACAATTAAAACTAAACAATAAAAGTATTATTTGCAAAAAAATTAATTGATCATGCTTATAATAATTGTTAAACAATGTAACAAACTAGAAATACTATAATAAATGTATACTTATTTTTTAAAAAAAACAAATATGTATTAACTAGATTCTATATGACATAATTTGACCATGAACATTTATTATTAATATTAATAATATATATAATCAAATAAATTGTATATTTGTTTCATTTACTTAATAAGAAAATGATTTTTTATTATTAATAGTTGAAAATTAAAAACTATATAATTATTGATAATAAAAATTTAGAAATATTTTTTATAATTAGATTAAATGATGTCTTCATCGCCGACACCTTCATCATCGGGTGCTCTTCACGACAATACTTTATATGTCAATAATGAGGTAAACGAGTAAAAAGATTTGATGAAAGTCATTAAGAATTGATATATTAATTATATAATCAACTCATAGCTTACCACTGCCTCGAGTTCGAGTCAATATCTTCATCACATGACATCCAATACTGTCGATCAAAATATGGTGTCTTCGACACAACACAATGCCAATAATCACAGTCATAATCATATTAGTCACCAACAGGTATAAAATAATATCGATTGACTTTTGCATATTAAACAAGTAGTTTATGTCCACAATAATAGCCTTTTAAGCATATGTTGGCCCAGAAATATGCAGCGGAATCGACATCAGAACAGACGGGCAGTTCTTCAGAAAACAATCAGCAGATGCACCACAATATGCAACAGTTTTACGCCTATTCACCGCTCGTTAGCAGCAGTTGTAGTTCCCATCACTTTGAAAGCAATTTGTTGGACGCAAATAGCGTACAAAACGATGTAATTCACGTGGAGTCGACCAGTGGACAAATGGATACCGACGACACACATCTGATCCAAAGCAATATATTTCATGACAACGTTATGGACAATCTTATAAAACATGAACAACAGTCGACTTCAATGAACTCTGGATTAGTTTCTTCCACTTCAACACCTAATATGTGTCGACAGGATATGATATTTGAGTGCAACAGTGAAGCAGTTGACTCTACGACCAGTGCTGGACATCAACTGAGTTATGTGCAGCCAATACATACATATCAAGAACCCATAGATAAGCTATCAATTCAATCGTTGGTCTCAATGCAGTCATCAGATCCATCACACCATTTATTACAAACTCATTATTTACATCCAAATTCAGACAATCAGATGCCTATACTTCAACAACAAGCAGTTGAACAATGTGTTCAACCTATTGAAGAACAATCACATCAGACAAACAATGTTAGCGTAGAGTTGGAAGTACCTCAAGAACATGTCATCAGTGATCTACCAGTTCTTAGTAGAGCTCGAGCTTCACTGCCATCTGAATACTTATATATAGAAGAAACCGATAACTCGATTGGTGTTATAGGAGTTTTTGCTAAAAAGACAATTCCAAAGAGGACACAGTTTGGACCCGTCGAGGGTGTCATTGTTGGTCACAATCATTCAAATGTTCACAACTTTAATCACAATCTAATGATATTCATAACAGAGACTCTAATTTTAGACCAAAGTGACGAAAATCAATCAAATTGGATGAAATTTGTGCGATCGGCCAATACTTATGAAGAACAGAACTTAGCGCTTATCACTAAAGAGAATATCACTGGAAATGAGATCGAAATTAAATTCTTCTTTCACACCACAAGAGCTATTTATGCACGAGAAGAGCTCAAAGTGTGGTATTCAAGAGAATACGCAGAAAAGTTTAATCTTAAAGTATTAGAACCCAGACCTCCAATACCAGAAGTTGAAGAACAAAACAATGAAAATATAGTTCCCAAACCTAATACTAATCCAATTGATATTGTGGCCACCGGTGGACACAAACTAAGAAATAAAATTGCTAAAACTCAACAACAGCTTCAACAGCAACAACAACAACAACAACAACAAATACAACAACAACAACCAGAAACACAACCTATTGTCAGTCAAACCATATCTAATAGTTCTGTGACCACAGCAAAGGACAATACTAGTCAACCTAAATATCAATGCGAGACCTGTCAGAAGGTATTCCCCAGATTTTATAGCTTAAGGAGACATCAAATTATGCATTCAGGTATACATTATTGTTATATAAATCAATCATTTTAACGGCAAATTAAATTTCAGGTGAAAAGAAGTACAAGTGTCCCATCTGTTTCATGTCATTCAGTCACGTATATAATCGCAACAGACACGTGAAGAAACACTCAAAATCTCCGGTCACTAAAAAACTTATTGTTGAAACCCAAGGAACAAGTGATCAAATATTAGATAATTTGACAGAAACTATGAAGAAGAGTACAAATAACACAAATGATGAACTAATGAAAGCACCGACAAGTGTGCCGATCGTCGCCCGAAAAAGTTCTCCAAAAGTGGTCAACAACTCTAATAAGCCGTTCCGATGTCATGAATGCTATAAATGTTTTACAACTGACGATCGTCTCTTAAGACATGCTATCGTCCATTCAAGTGATGAGGACGTGAAACCATTAGCCTGTGATATCTGTCAAAAGAGATTTCTTAACAATTCTGCCCTTTCTTGTCATCTAAAAGTTCATAGGTTTTTGCATACTTTAAAATTAATTATTTAAATACGTGTTTTTCATTTGTAATTTCAATTGATTTTTCAGTACGCCTAAGGATCAGCCTCGAAGATATGATTGTGTTATATGTAAACAATGGTTTGATTCAACACAACAAAGAAAAGATCACATTATAACACACGCCAATCCAATAACGGGACAGTTTACATGTCCTAACTGTTCAAAGGTAAGGATATATTTATATAAATACATAATACTGTATTAAGTATATCTGATCCATATTTAGGGTTTCGACGAGTTTGCGGCCGTTCGTAAACATATCCGAGCCTTTCATTCGGACAAACAATACCCGTGCACTCAATGCGAGAAAGTATATATAAATGAACACAATTGCCAATTGTGATAATAAACATGATTTATTATCATTAGGTATTTCCACGACCCGACAAACTCAAGTTACATATGTTAAGACACAGTGATCACCGAGAGTTCTTGTGTGCCAATTGTGGCAAACAATTCAAACGCAAAGACAAATTAAAAGAACACATGCAGAGAATGCATGCACCCGACAGAGAGGCCAAACTGGCCGGTAATACTCTCATCAAAATATCTAATTGCCCTCAAGTGTTATCTAATATATATATGTATTTCTGTTAAATTAGCCAAACAAGCGGCCAAACAGGCACAACAAATGAGTCAACAAAATAAAAAGTTTATACCAAAAGTGTCACCAACTGATTACCACCGATTCATTTATAAATGCCATACTTGTCTTCTCGGTTTGTTTTTAGATAAATCAATCAATTTTGTGTATATTTTTATAAAATTAAATATTTATATAAATATTAGGTTTTAAAAGGAGAGGAATGCTTGTTAACCATTTGGCCAAAAGACATCCCGATATACCACCCGATTCTGTGCCCGAACTTAATCTACCTATACTTAAGGTATTACATGTGCTTTTAAACAATAATTTAATAATAAAACTGTTATTTGTTTTTTACAGACAACTCGTGATTATTATTGTCAATATTGTGACAAAATATATAAATCAAGTTCTAAAAGAAAAGCCCATATAATGAAAAATCATCCAGGTAAATCATTACCACTTTCCAATAGACATAAGGGAGGCATTCCTTTGGTACCAGGAGTTCCCAATCCGACCTATAGTGCAACGGTAGGCAGTATAACAACACATCCGCATTACTGTGATTGGTGTCACAAACAATACGCCAGTAAAGCTAAACTATTACAACACCAGCGCAAGAAACATCCGGAACAGATGGCTATTATCAATTGCAATGCCCGCACCAGACAACGTACTACCACTCCAACAGCAGCTCCCATATCGACTCAATCCATGACTGGGCAGACTATAACCCAAACTCCAAACATAATGTCCACTCAAAGTACCAGCCAATCAACAGTGGCAGTCGGATCCGGTGTGTCCACTAACCTGATCACCATTTTGGGAAATATCAATAACATAATAAGCGCCACAATGAACAATGATTTGTCCCAAACAAATGCATCCACTGTTGATCTTCAAGAGCTACTTCAGGGTAGCTCTAGTGATCTATTGACTCAAGCTATGTCCGAATTGACGGCCACTAAAGGTGAGGGCGGAACTACTCTTATAATTACAACACATCCTTCTGATGACGACCACAATTGGAGTCAAGTTTGTGGTGAAATCAATGAAGTTTAATGATTGTAATTGTATTAAATTATATGAATAATCAAATTATCACCTCATTATCGTTATATTAAAAGCATATATTTCTATATATTGTGATTGTATTTAAATAATATATTTATACAAATTGTATTTTAAGATATTTGTAAACTCATTTTATAACTATTTTTATTGTTTAATATAAACCAAACAAAAACATTGATCTCTTTTTTTAATATAAATTAACTGACACTTGAGTTTATTTAAACTATTATTTACATAAATTTTATCAATTTATATACCGTATATATAGTACAGTATATGCAATAAATTGTATTTATTTATTTTATTTAAAAGTATTATAATAATAAAGCTATTAATTTTGAATTATAAACAGTACTAAATATATAATAATTATTGTAACTAATGATAGCTAATGATAATGAAATCTATGAAATATTCAAATTATAACAAATATTTGTCAATCAAATAGTCAATCATTTATTATTCAAATCATTAGCCATATCTATGAGCTGTTGTGTTGCCGACGGTTTTGGCTCAACGAACTGACCTCTCTCTTGGTTCGGAAACTGTTGGATATTCAGATGAGTCGGGCGATTGATAAATGGATTCCACGGTCCCTGAACTGAGGGCAGGATTGACGTGTGAGGCGACAAATGTTGAGCCAACTCATAGCCGGAGCGGTTCTTCAAGAAGTCAACCCACCAGCCGAGCTCTACGGCTGAAAACTTCTTCACTGACATCCAATGGTTCATTCCGTTCATATATTCTGTAACAATGACAGGACTTCGATGCCGACGAGGTTTTAAATAGACGACTACACCGGGATTGGCACGACTCCAGTCAACCAATTGGCTCTCAATGAAGTGGCGGACACCGCGTGAGTCCATATTTGTCTTACAGAACTTGAAGGTTATCCGTTGCAGTTGACACACAAATCTGGTATTAGTCGACATTATTTAAAGACATTGGTTATCGAGTAATACAAATAAATTAAATAAATGACTGATTTGAGAGTCAATACCTGCCGATGCCGTTATAGTAGGCATTCCTGATGTAGGTCTCAGGCAGTGCGGGATTGTGGACAATGAATCGGTCTAAACTAAACTTACTTAAGTCCAATATCTTCGGCATCGCTATTGTCAACAATTGTTATCAATTATTAACCGCTAAATCTATTGACACACGTGTCTATAATCAATAATAATAATAATTATTATTATTATCACAAATAAATTGACAATATTTTAATTCAAATCAATAATTAAAGTGTAATACAATCGTATATTTTGTTGATAATAATGATTGCAAACCAATTGAATTAATGATTAAAATATTTAATTAAATAATATTTAAACAAATAATAAACAAATGTTTTGAAGTCACTGTTTATCAATGCATTCAATGCTTTACGTAATTCGTAACAAAAAATAGTATTTATTTTGTTATTTATTTACATTTGTTTTATGTCTGCAATGCGTTAACACATGTCGTTGTCTTTGATTGTCATATTATTTTTGTTGAATTAATTGAGTGATCAAATGAGCCGAAGACAGACCACGAGATGACCAGCAAAGACGTGTCCACACATTACGAGACACTAAATTGCAATGAAAATGCAACCAAAGAGGAGATCCGCAATCAGTTCAAGAAGTTAGCTCTTCAGGTGAGCCGACGACCATTGGTTTGACCACATATTTGTTGATATTATAGAAAATAATTACTTGATTTTATTGTTTATTAGACACATCCCGACAAAAGTGACTCTAAAACTTCTTGCGAAGACTTTCATCGCATCGATTATGCGCTCAAAGTGTTGGCCACTGACGAGAGCCGTCGCCAATATGACTGTCAACTAATTGGTAAACACTTAGTGACCAATTATATCGATAATTAAATACTTTGTTTTTATAATTTTGATTTTAATAGACGACCGAAGTTATGATCGTATTATTAATCAAGAGATTACTATAAATGATATGATACTAATTGATGGTAATTTTGATGTTTAATAATATATTTATATAAAAAATATGATAAATATTTATTAATATATTTAATTGATGTCTATATTTAATGTGAAGACACGTATTCAATAGATTGTTGTTGTGGCGGATCTTATCTTATATCGATTGATGACTTTAGTCAACTATCGAGTGTTGAATCACCACAAGAATCACTTATAATTGATTGCAATTCCTGTTCATTATCTGTAAAATTAGGCAAAACATGAAAAATTTTATTAAAAATTATTAATTAATAAATAAAATATATTTTAAAAAAATTTAAAAACTGTTTTTAATATACAGTGAGTTTCAATTCCATCCGATAGTGTTTGTGGATTGATATCTCATCGATGGTAATATAAATTTTATCAAAGTCTAAAATAAAGTAAATCTCCCCATAAGTATCCTATATTTTTTCAAAAATTTATTTTTAATAGTTTTATAATTATAAAATAATAAATGAAAAGTTAGATTATAATGAAGATGTTGATTGAATTATTATTGATTCAAACGATATTTAAGTTTAATCAATGGGGAGACTAATGGAGTTCATTTGAATTTGGATACAATTTTTTTGTACTAATTTTTACTTATTATTTTATAATTATATAACTATTAAAAATAATTTTTTGAAAAAATATGGGATACTTTTGGCGAGTTTTACTTTAGTTTAGGAGACTTTGATAAAATTTTATATTACCATCGATGAGATATCAATCCACAAACACTATCGGATGGAATTGAAACTCACTGTATATTAAAATTGTTTAATTCTTTTATTAATTACGATATATATTATATAAAAATATGATTTCAATGTTTTTAAAACTTTTTAATGGACTACATAATAAGCACTTGTAACCAATTCATTAGAAGGCAGTACACTCATTGATATCCATTGAGAAACTGGATGTTATGATGTAATGCCAGTGCTCACAATCCCTGAATCGATTGGGATGTATGTGTGTGTCAGCTGAATGCCTGTATTTATTATACAATCAGATCGATTCAATGTATAGCTTGAGGAGAGCCTATTGTTGAGACAAAACTCATACCATTGAGATTATAGCTGACAAACTGTTAGCTAACTAACTGTGCGAAGAATGGGTTTTCCACTTTTATGTTAGTCGGTTTGCTTAAGCAAGTTGTGTGACCCAACTGTGCCAACATTTTTGGTGCCAAACATTCATATAAATTAACAGTTAGTATGACTCAAGAAAGTGATGACTGCAATGAAGAAGAAGTAAGTTTAAGTTTAATTGATTATCAAAACTAATTTAGTGTTTAATTTTTTACATAACTATTAATTATCATATAATTACTTTGTAATCACTTGTAGTTATAGTATAAAGAAAAATGTCATATAGTCTTATAATATAAATGGTTAACAACAAGTTATAGTTACTAATTATATACGATATTATATTATAGTTATACATGTTTTTTCATAACGTTTAGTATATGATATTCTGTGTATGAATTATAAATATGTCACAAACAGTATTATTTAAATTTATATCTATTAAAGTACTGCATATATTAAAATATCTTTTATATTCTTTACAGTATATATTTAACAACTTATTAAAGATATGATAAATTTCTATGTAATAATATTTTCATTTATTATATGTCACATGAATATAATTAGCATATATATACAGTATTTATTTAATTATTTAAAAAAGTGTAATTAGTAATTATCGTAATTAGGAATTTCTTGTAAATAGAGATTTCAATTTTTTATTTAACATATTTTAATTACTTTGATTAGCAATCAAATGAATTAAAATCTAATATATACTGTAATATACAATATACAGTATTGTATAAATTTTTATTGTGTTAGTTTTAGTATTGTTATCGTAGTTTTAATAATAAAACAAAAGTTAAATAAATTACTTAAAGTATTACAAACACAATGAGCCAATTGAAACCGTGATAACCAATCAATTGTATAGAATTATAGTTAATTTAGTCATTGCTTTTCCTGACAATCAGTTTCAATGGATATTAACACAATTTGGCGAAAAAACAGTATTTGGTATTATAATAATGATTTCAATCTGTTGTTATATAAAAGAGATCCACAAAAATAAAAGCAATATTTTGTTATAAAAATCACAGTCAATAGGAAAAACTATTTTCTCTTAAAAAAGCGCAAACCGTATATATTATTTATTAGTGATTTATACTGTATTAGCGTTGAATAGTTAACTATAACTTACTTTTTCATAAAATGTATAATTTTCTTACTCTTTTTAAATATGTATATAATAAATAATTTTTTGGTGAGATTTCTGTATATATATATTTTTTGACAAATTCATGCAAATATATTTAAAATTATTTGGTTAGTTTTTGTCGAGATTTAAAAAAACTAAATATATCTTTTTAAAATATATGATAATATAAAAAATCTTTTTTGATTTATCTGAAGTCATCTTTTAAAAAATAAGTCATCAATAATTTTACAAAAGAAATATCAATTCAAAAAATATTGTTTTACAATAAAGACTTTAGTTTATAAAAACTAGATTTTTTATTTAATACTATCTATTATACTGTATAAGTTGTACAAAACTTTATTTTTTAAGAGCAAACAAAATATAAAATATGAGTATTTTTTATAAAATATAAAAATATTTATTTCAACTTTAACATTAAGTTTAATTTAATTGTTGTCATTTTCTATTACACACATACATACTGTAATATATAATATAGATAACAAAAAACAACTATTTTCTCATTGATTATATGATCGCTTTCTCGAAATATTGAAAATTTCTAATGCATTTTAAACAGAATTATAATATTTAGTATAATCTCTTTATTTTGTTTTCAAAATGTTTTATATATAAATATATAAAAGTATTGAATAAATAAGTAAATTGAGTTAAAACTAGAGATAAGACGCCTTTATTGAAATGGATTTTCTCATTTAAAAAAGTGTCAAATAATATATAATTTATATGATGTGATGTTTGCCATTGAATTGAAAATTCATAGATAATATTTTAAGTATAATTCATATTATATAACTATTTGCTATTTAAATATTAATCTAACTCTTTCAGTGTCTAATATTATACAATTAACAATTGATTAAATTTGTTAATTAATATATTAATAATATAATAATAAAAAAATAAAATTTTAAAAAAGTAAATAATTATTTTATATTCTCAAAAATTGATAATAATTTTTATATCTAATAATATAATTTTTAGCAAAGTTATATTTTATAATTAGAATTTAATAAGATATTTTATTTAATGTTATTATATAATAAAATATTAATTATAAAATATGATTGATGATTGAATTTATGAAATATGATTTACAATTTATGCAATGAACCCAATGATTATTTACTAATTTTAGACAACAAACCAATATATCAGAAAAATAAACTGAATTTTAATAACTACTTACAAGTTAGTCGTATATCAATAGAATATATAAAGGTTTTTCAATTTTATGCAAAAATGTTTGCATCAATTTTTACTCTTTATGTTAAATAATAATCTACAGAATATAACGTATAATACTTATAGTACAGTATTTGAGTTATCGATAGCTATATTATATTAATAGTATTATTGTAGAGATAGTGAGTAAACATATTTAAAATTCAAAATCAGTTAACACTTGATTTCGTTTTCTATATAAGATATTATAATTATTAATTATGAATCAAACTTATTCATTATTTGATTTACTTATATATTAATTAATATTTTTATAACTATCGTATTAAATATAACCAATAAAAATATGAATACTTTATATACAAATATGTGAAATTGCATAATAGCATTGATTTCGACAACTGATTCAATAATTTCGACGAAGAATATCATGAATTGGACGGTAAGATAAATAATTGGAAATACATTATTCAAATCAACACATAATACTATACTTTATATAGAATATCGCAAAACTCTACATAACATAACATTTCAAAGTTTTGAGTTTTAAACACTAGTTTATTATGTAATGATTTATTTACTATTTTGTTGTTTAATTAATTAGTATTAAAAATAAATATTTTCCAAATATAATTAGTGTAAATTACATCTTTTTAATATTAATTTTCCATAAAATTGTAACTTTTTTGTACTACTATTTATTGTAAAATATTTATTATTAATATTTAAATTAATTAAACAACAAAATAGTAAATAAATCATTACATAATAAACTAGTGTTTAAAACGCAAAACTTTGAAAATACGATAAAGTACAGTATTATGTGTTGATTTGAATAATGTATTTCCAATTATTTATCTTACCGTCCAATTCATGATATTCTTCGTCGAAATTATTGAATCAGTTGTCGAAATCAATGTTATAACACTGTACTAAAAGACAATGATTTGATTTATAAAAGATAACTTAAAATTAAGTAAATCTATAAAAATCTTATATAATAACCTATAATAAGACTTATTGATACACTCATCATAAACACCCGTATACTATGAAATTTTATTATTGAAAACGCGTAATCATTATTTTTAAAAAATTGTTAATTAAATTGTTATTAATGTTTGCTAACATAATTACTATGGAAATTAGCCTAAGGTTATAAAAATAACTCAATAATACAAATTAATGTAATGTAATTCAATTCAATAATACATTAATTCTTTGCACTCAACTACTCTAATATTACATTTTCAAACATAACTTTTACGAGTATCTCATTGTATTATTGTATTATATCATATAAGTATCAATTTTATTTATTGCCATTTATATGAAAGATACATAAAGTTATAGTTAGAAACTGTATTATAGAAATAGAAATATGATTTTATCAGTGAAAGTCAATAACAAAATATATGAAATTCTTATACTTATTTATAATTTATAAATACAAATACAATATTTTTGTTGCACTTAAACATCATAAGAATTGTTGTGAATGTTATTTTTAGGTGAAATATTTTTATGATTTTATCAAAAATTATACAAAAATTATTGATAAGTAAATTAATGTTATTATATAAATCAGATAAAACTTACTAAAGAAACAAAAAAATATAAACAATAAACTTGAAAGTGTTTAAATTATATTTGAAATTATATTTATATTATATCTATATTAAAATTATATTATAGTCAATATACTGTATAGTATAAATTATTACACAATATTATGATAATATTGATCACAGAATTTTGATAGTATGTAATACATACTATGTATGATATGATATAAATTTAATTAGATTTTTTCCTCAACGCTAATAAGTTATGACTTATTTCTGTTATATAATATAATCAATAAAAATTACATTACTTTTGCAGCATATATACAGTAGTAATATTATTTTAAGACATTTCTTATCTAATGTTTAACATTTATTGTTAATATTCACTATATATAACAAAATAAAATCTTATTCAATTTTCTAAATAGACTACAATTAACAAAATTATTTTTTTTTAATGATATTATCATTTCTTTACTCTCAATTATCACTGAATGTCAGCTTTGATTGAATCAAATCAATAAACTTTTTAAATAAGGCAATGCACTAAATAAGTCATACCAACACACATATACAGCTTATCCTATATATTTGTAGATTTATATTACGTAAGTTATAAAACATACAATCAATATATGTGTGTTGTTGTCTAACCCGAAGCTATTTTATAGCTTAGTTTGACGACACAACTAGTATATTGACTAAAACATAGACTATTATATACAATATACTGTATATACCGTACAAATGAATAGCACTGTTATGTCAATAGAAGGATTCGATGGTTATATTGTATAAGTTATATAAAATGTTGAGAAAAATAGTTATAAAATGACTTTCAAGTAATGAAATCGCATTGAAATGAATGAAAAGACACCAACAAATTGATAGATGATTACAAACTTTTTTTTGATGTTGTGTTATGTGTTAAAGTTTGACTTTCAATCGAGATTTCATGTCAATCGCTGACACAATTGATGTTAATTTGATTTTAAGTAATAGCTTCTACAATGTATTTGTCAGTTTAAGTTTTATCAGTTATGTTTGCTATATAACCATACAGTTTGTATATACTGTAAATAACATCTTAACGTTTTTTATACACATCATATATAAAACTAAATGACAAAATATAAAAAAGTGTTTATTATTATTATTAATTCTGGTTACTATGTTGTATTATTTTGGTGTATATTAGTTTTAATATAGACATAATAAATTTAATACAATGAAATTTT